ATCGCCCCCCCCATTTAGTTCACCCATACCCTGGTTTTCTCCCCAGCAGGGACTCAAAGCAGCTTACCTCATTCTCCTCTCCTCCATTTTACCCTCACAACAACCTTGCAAGGTAGGGTAGGCTGAAAGAGCACGACCGGAATGACTTGCATCTAGCAAGCTTCCATAGCAGAGTGGGGATTCAAAATCTGGGTCTCCAGATCCTAGTTGGACACTCTAACCACTGCACATTGTTGGCTTTCCTTGACCTTCATTAGACTCTATGTGGTCTCCTAGTTGGACACTCTAACCACTGCACACCGTTGGCTTTCCTTGACTTTGCTAGACTCTATGGGAGTCACACATGAAGCTGCCAACTACTGAATCAGACCACTGGTCCACCATGCTCAGTATAGTTTACTCAGATTGCCAGCATCTCGGGGAGAGGCCAGTTTGGTGTAGTGGTTGAGAGCGGCGGACTCTAATCTGGAGAACCGGGTTTGATTCCCTACTTCTACACATGCAGCTAGCTGGATGACCTTGGGTCAGTCACAAGTTCTCTTAGAGCTCTCTCGAGAGGCCAGTTTGGTGTAGTGGTTGAGAGCGGCGGACTCTAATCTGGAGAACCAGGTTTGATTCCCTACTTCTACACATGCAGCTAGCTGGATGACCTTGGGTCAGTCACAAGTTCTCTTAGAGCTCTCTCTCAGCCCCACCCACCTCACGGGTGCCTGTTGTGGGGAGAGGGAAGGGAAGGTGATTGTAAGCCACTCTGAGAGTCCTATGAGTAGCGAAGGGCAGGGTCTAAAAACAGCTGTTCAATCCAGAACCAAAGAGACTCCTGTATGAAGGACCAAGAGAAGCCCAAAAGTTGTGATTCTGATGAACATCTAATCCATCTTAGTATAGAACAGAATGTTCCATCATCAAAAGAGCGTCTGATGTTGAAGTAGTTCAAAGGTATGTCTTTGGTTGAGGCCAGGGACAATTTCCTACATCTGCCTGGTTCCCCCCCTCCCAAAAATCTGAATGCTAGACATGCCATCTGTTCTTGGAATGTTTTAAATATGCATGTTTATTTAGTATTGTAGGCTTGTGGTTTTAATTGGTTTTATAATTGGTATTGAATTATCCTGTTGTAAGCAGGGAAGGGTGGTCAAGATTGAACCTGGCACCTTCTGCATGCTGGGCATATGCTCTTCCACCAAGCCGTAGCCTCTCCCCTCTGGACTCGTTTTACTTAACCACTATTTCATCAGGGGCAACTTGCTACTTCCCAGCCGCCCTTTCTTCCCGTCTGTAAAATGGGCACAACAGTAACCTACTTTGTAAGGCTGCATCTAAGGCTGCCCTCCTTGAACAGCTGTTATCAGAACGCACACGGCCTAACCCTGGCACCTCCCAGCCCGCGCACGGTACGCAGCCAGCAGCTTCAAAGCCACACATGAATCCAATCCATGAAAATACTTTTCTTTCATTCCAGCTGACACGAAACTGATTTAGTGGGGCCGACTCAGGCAACCCTGTACTTGCCCAACAGGTTAGTTCTCCCCAAGTATTCATTTATTTGGAATTTATTGCATCTCTTGTTCAAAGAGCTTAACACATGGGAAAGCGACTATATTTAAATGGAGACAGATTCATAAGGGGGTGGGGAGGGGGAGATAAGAAAGGAAACGCAAGGGAGTTAAATACCAGCTAGCTCCTATGAATACTTTTTCCAGACTGGCTTCACTTTGTAAGATCTAAACTTTTTTTGCATTGCTCCTTGGGGGCAGGGGAGTAAATATTGGAATTTTGTTTGCCACCTAAGGAAGACTTGATTGAAAGGCTGACTAGGAACATTTTAATGAACTATGGTAGTGTTTTAGAGGAGGCTGCTTGGTGGAGGCACTGTAGTTGAAAAAAGAGCTGGTGTTCTTTGCTTCACTTGGACATCCATCACCCATTGCTTGCTAAAAGGTGACTTACGCCAAGGTATGCACCCAGGACCCTTTAGTGGAATTGGACAACTAAACCAAAAGTTTCAAGCAAGGCCATGAAGAGCTTTTCCCCACCCACATGCATAACCTTGTACTCATAGGTTGGAAGATTTGTTGTTTTGCAGTATGGTGAACATCCAACCATGCATCAATACAGGAATCACCAACACAGTGCCCGGCGGCACTATGGCTCCCGCAGACACCTTCCTTGGCATCCACGCCAAGTGTGTTCAGAAAGTGGGTGGGCTACTGCCCAGCAGGCCTTGTGATTGGCCGTAAAGATTAAAATAACATTTCCAGGACATCTGCCACTAGTGTTGTTTTATTCTCCCCAACTCTTCTTTCCCAATGTATTTTGAAAATTTACCCCTCATCCCCTGCACTTTGGGCTTCCTAGGTGGCCATTTGGTGGTTGCACCCATCACGTGGTTTCAGAACTCAAATGTGCCCACAGACCCCAAAAAAGGTTGAGGACCCTGGCACTGGTCAAACCTCAGGAAGAACCCAACCACACCTGGCTTCAGACATTGGAAGATGGCGTTCATACCAAGCCTGGAAGAGGCTGTAAGGCCCCTCTGGAGAAACCCCACCAAGGGGCTGCCTTGAGCCTGCATTGCGGGGAGGGAGGGCTATACGTTGAAATTATAAATAAATATAAATAAATAAAACAGCTGTTAAGGTTAAATCTGTGAACTACTTTGCAGTCTAAGGTTAGATCCAGGTTAAAGGAGCCCTGTCCAACTGAATTTAAGCTGCCCGGGAACAACTTCGATTGACCTTTATAACACGGGGTTGGATCTTGCTGCTACATTACATTAACGGAGGCACTTCCATTCCTTCGAGGGAGTCTATTATCTTTTGCAAAACTAAATATCGAGGAAATAAGTCTTTTAAGGTGCTGCTGGACTCAGACTAACTAAATTTGTGGCCGTCTTTAAGGTGCTACTCAACTCTTGTTTTCTACTGCTACAGACTAACATGGCTACCCATCTTTAAATACTGACGGTTGACCTCTTATCACCAGGGGTGACTCATTTAGCCACAGGTATTCCTTAATGCCCTGATCTGGTGGCCAAGGCTAGCCCAACCTAGTCATTCTCAGAAGTGAAGCAGGGCTAGAACTTGGATAGGAGATCACCCAAGGAAGTCCAGGCTCGCTGCGCAGGCAGGCAATCGCAAACCACCTCAATTTGTGGGCTGCATTGAAAACGCTATGGGATCACCATAAGGTGGCTATGATTTGAAGGCACTTTTCACCGCCACATTCTTACCAAATACAACCTCTGCTCAATCGCACAACACGGTTTGTGCACATTGTCTGGGAAAGCAGTGAAACTCAAAGGCAAAGACATATTAATAGAGTAGTTTACACAAGATTTGAGAAACTCAAAGGCAAAGACATATTAATAGTTTACACAAGATTTCTGTTAAGATTTAGGGCAAATATTTTATTTATCTAGAAACACAAAATAAAATCATTTATTTTAAAAAAAGATGACAAAAAGTATTTAAATAAAAATGAGCAGAATTTTTTTTTCTTTTGTATGAAATGTTATGGCACAGAAGTGTTCAAGACAGTCAGCGATCCAGTTGCCACAACCTCTAAGCAATATTATCCATTGCGCTTTGCTTTTTTTTGTGTGTTTTTTTAAAGAATTTTTCTATAAAGACTTTTATTAAAGATATTTACATGTCATTAATATGTGTAAATATATCTACAACAGCCGATTCGGGGGAATGAGGAATCACCTTAAGGGGGGGAACACTTTAAATACAAAAAAAGAGGGAAAATGAAAGGAAAAAAAATAAAGTTTATCCCCCAAGTGTGAAGAGATGTCTGCCGCCCATCTACTCAAAGTTTTGTTATGAGGCAGTTTGAGGTTCTGGCCGGCCACTGTCAAGGTCAAGCCAAGGTTGTGTAGTTGTCGGGCATGCAATGAACGGGTCCATGAAATCATCAAGTTCACCAGTACTTTTGTTATCTGTCTCTCTCTCTCTCATTATGTTGGCCTTAATCCTCCAAGTCTATGTAATACCCCCACCAATCTGTCTGGGGATTTCTTGTTTTGTTTTGTTTTTGTCCCTTTCAAACACAAGAGTTCCTCAACTGCTGAAGCTTGCTTTTCAACTGCTCCCGCCGCCTCCGCAACTGTTCCTTTTCGGCTATCAGTCTGTGCTCGTCCGACTGGATGGAGAGGACGTATTCCGTGGCTTTTTTGAGGATGACCACCTTCGGGGCCTTCTCGTTGTTGGCCACCTCTGGGATCTGGTCGCGCAAGGCGAAGAAGCTCAGCTTCAGCTCGTTCCGCCTCTGGCGCTCCAAGACGTTGTGCGTCCGCCGCTTGTCATTCTCTTCTGAGTCTGACGTGCGCGGGCTGGAGCATTTGCGGTTGTTGCTGATCTGTTTGAGTACCCGGCCACTGTCCAGCTTTAGCCTTTTGGCTGAGGGGTACTCGACCCTGGTGCAGGGGGGAGCGGCGTAGTTGTGCTGGTGGATGGGGACGTGACACCTCTTGAGGACCAGCGGACTGTGGGGGGGCTTGCTGTGTGTATTGGACTCTGATTTCTTGGAGGTGGGCTGCCGTTTCTCCACAGTGACCACATCGATTTCTTCCTCCTCCTCTTGTTCCTCCTCTTCTTCTGGAAAAGAAAAAAATCGGACATGTTAAAAAAAACAAACTGGTCCCGCCCCCCTCCATCCTACGGCACAGTGCCTTTTAAAATTATTACCCTTAAAATGGATGTTTATTTACAGTTACACAAAAAAGGACACGCTGACCTGAAAGCCAGATTGAAAATATTGTGTAACCTGGCTTCTGAATGCTGAACTGCTCCAAGGGGAGGAGACCGTAACGGTTACGCAACAGGACTACGGTTAAGACCGGCACTTTTTCACATCTTCTATAAGGCTCCACAAAGGGCTGTTAAACCGACTCCCGCCTTTCCTTCCAGATCTCAAGATTTTGAAACTACAAGCTTGCATAACTCTCAACAGCCATCTGCCCGAGCACAGCAGGGACAAGGGGCAGACCTGGGCCAACCAGGGAAGCGTGGTGCAGTGATTAGAATACCCAGCTCAGATCTGAGAAGCTGGGGTTCAAATGCTACCACAAGCTTTCTGGGTGACTCGGGGCTGGCTCCCAATCCTGAGCCCAGTCGACCTTACAGGGTTGTTGTGATGACACAATGGAGACAGAATGGAGAATTGCCTATCCTGAACTGAACTGCTTGAGGAAAGGGTGGGATAGAAGCGTGCAAGATAAACAGAAGGCACCCACAGGAGGGGGCGCTATCTAGGCAACAGCTACAATGTGTGAATAGAACTAATATATTTTCTTCATTTGTACCCGCCTTTTCTAATCATTCTCCTCTCCTCCAGCTTATCTTCGCGGCAGCTCTGAGAGCATGACTAGCCCAAGGTCACCCAGCAAGCTTCCATGGTCCAGGTGCAAGTGGGGATTCGAACCTGGGTCTCCCAGATACTAGTCCAACGCCAACCACCACACCGGCTCTCATGCCAGCTGGCACGAAGCACGACCGTCAAACTCTCCGTCGACACAGCTCCAGGCCAGGCCTGCAATTCACCCAGGCTCAGCGCTCACACATTAGGCTTAAGTGAGCAAACCCCTGGGGGAAAACATGCCGGCACACGTGGTTGTCTGGACCAGGTCAGACAGACACGGCTATGCAAATGCTCAACAACAGGCAGGGAGCATTTCAGATAGCTGAAGCAACACCCAGGAATTGCACAATACGGGGTGTCTTCCTTTTAAGAACACCTTTAGATAAGCCCCCCCCCCACCCCAGTGAGATTCCCAGCAAGACTCGCTCACCGCATGGAGATCGCTTGGCAAGATCTTTTACTTAGATCTGCAGAAGGCGGGCGTTGTCGTAGGCTAAAGCTTACCTGAGAAAATATCTTGAAAAATGCACTTTCCCCCCTAGGCCTTCTTTCTACCCTGTTTGCTAACCCCACCCCTCCTGAGCGCCCTGAAGTTACTGCCGCTTTCCCACTGCCTCTGCAGGGAGTTCAAGGGGGAGGCGGAAAGGACAGGTCAGTGGGTTTAAATTTACAGCAGCTCCAACCCCTCCCTCCTCCTCCTCCCTCGCAAAACCCAAGTAGGGTCTCTCTCCTTCCCTGAACTTCTTTTTCCAAGAAGCTCAATTCGTGGGAAGCCTGTGGCGCTAACGTGGCATTTTTATAAAAAGCGCACATATGTTAACAGGAGGGAGGGACAGAGGCACTGAAATATTCGGGGCGGGGCAGGGGGGGAGAGACAAGTCTTTCTCTCTGTTTTCACACCAGTCAGCATGTGGCTTGAGGAACCCCACGGCATTCCACCCCCACCCCCCCGGATTCAAGACACAAATATTGAACAATCTGTATC